TTTTTCTAAGCTCCATCCAAATCTTACAGTGTGTCCTCTAGTTTGATACACAAAGAATATTAAACAATGTTTGTGTGATCATCAATGTCTGATAGGATTATGTTGCTGCTGATTTGGGAGCTTCCATTTGATTGTGGCTGTGCATATGCTAGGCTGTGCTTTTGGTTGTAAGGCAGTCAATATATTTGTTTTGTTGAGAAAAATATGCAAGTAAATAATTACCTCAGTTTTGAAAGTACCCAGACATTTGTTGATTTCTATATATGTCTCTCATGATGTTTGTTTAAAATATTTGTTTCATTTGCTTATGACTTAACAAATGATCTTGTAATTTGTAGAACCAGAATTTCTGGCTTTTCATCCTTCGTATACTTGGTATACAGTACCTTTAATTATTGCACACAATTGGCATTTTTGACTGCATCCAATTCAACATTCATGTCATAGTGTGACATTTGATCATGTTATCTAGTATACAGTTGGTTACTGTTCTTTCATTTTGACTTTTAGATCTGTGCAAGTTGATGGCTTTCTTTGCTAACCTCCTGAGAGTTTATTCTGGTATTGCATATCAGGAGAATGCATGTTGGAAAAATGATAAAATGGGAGTGGTTAAACATTTCTAATTGTTTCATCTATAGTTTCCCTGCATCATAATAGCAATTTTCCTCCCAAAATGCTTGGCAGCCAGGTTTTTTTGTCAAGAGGCGAGTCAGTAAGGAACTATGTATATTCATTTAGTCACCCACATACACATGCCATCACCCTGTGCATTAGACTGAGAGAGAGGAAAAGACAGGAAAAACAATTGTGATGTATCCTAGTGGTTTTAAAATAGGCTGTTAACAATCCTTGGGCATAGTGAAATAAAATATTTTTATTAACAAATGCATTCCAATTGCAATTACAGAACATATGCCAGCACTAATTCCCAAGGGCTTTCTCAAAAATACATAGCATCCATGAAAAAATTTGAATTCTTTGTGAAAAAATGTAGTAGCTATGTGATCAGGTTGGATATAAATTGTGAGCTGATATACTAGTGTTAGGTAGTTTTCCACAATGCTAAAAGCCAGTATCTGAAAGTGAAACAAATGGCCTATGGCTAGATCTAAAGTGCTACTTACTTGGAAATTTCTGTTGTAGAAGTGAAAAACAACAGTTAACTCAAGACTAAACAGTTTTCCTATTGGGCTCCTAGAGAATAATAGTGCTTTTGTATAATACTTGAAATGGAGCCTCCAGCCATCCCAAACAAAATAGTCTCTTTGAAGATCTTGGAAATAATGACATCATAGGCAGATTGAAGCAGCTATCCATTAATAGTGTCCTTTGTAAAAAGCTGTCTCAGAAGAGGACCTGACTTAGTAAATTGGTATTCTTTACAATCATAACATAATAAGATTCTCTTTCTTCATTTATGGAAGAGTACAAGATACCTCCCACTTGAGAAAAATACATTAACAGCAAGGCTTCCTTGTGAATGCCTCTTCTTTCTCACTGTTTGCAAAAGCATGCTTTGAGGCAATTCCTTTGAAGGTGGGTTAACAATGTAAAGAAGGTAATTTTTGTTTGTATGTTATAAAACTTGACAAAGAGCTGTAGTAGTATCAAGACAATTCAAGGAAAATTAAATCTGTCAAGTTTACACAAATGAAGAGTATTTAAATCATGCTTTATATTCCCACTGTGGAACTGGACGTCCATTCTTCAGTCTCATGTTCATCTCCATAAAGGATCATTCTACCCCTTCTGATGACCGCCTGATGAGGCTAATGAACCTAAACCCAATCCAAAACCATTCCAATTTGTTGAGGAGTAGAAAGTTGTCCATAGATGCTCTGTTCTCTGCAGAGTTCCTGGGACATCACACCATGTTCGTGGTTTTAGTACAGCATAGAAGAGTTTTGTTTGAGTTTTCTATAATAAGTTGTCCTTAATGGTCAACCTGAAACAGACCTGGTCAGATAGCTTCAGAGTCATCAGGTAGCCTGAAAAGAAGCAGTACATGCTTCCTTGTTTACATAGTGTAATTAGGAATGTGTAAATAGGTGTGGAAGCCACACCCATTTCTCAAGAACAAAGGAGCACAGTATTTTAAATTGCACAGTTGCCCTAGAACCCTTGTTGTCCTAGACTATTGCCTTGTTATGCAAGATCAGATTTGTTCTAAAGAGGGCATGCTTGTCTCTGACTTCTGTCATATCAAGTTAAGTAATCTGTCATCAGAAAATATGTATCATCTGGAACATTGTAGCTCTTTATCTATGTGGGACACAACTTTCCAGAAATCTCTCTTGGTATTGCTATTTAAATACTCAGGTCTTACCCAGTAACTTTCACATTTAGCTTTTTTGTTTGTTTGTTTGTTTGTTTGTTTGTTTTCATCAAGCTACATGTTGCATATCTGAGATTTTTGTGATGATAATTTCACACTTAGACATTAGGATGGAGCCCAGAAAAATTCATACCAAATTCTTCCTAGTGGCTTTATGAAAACTGTGAGGTAAGCCAGTAAAATATAATGTCATTGGTGAAATTAATCTTTTCTGGAGAAGAGTAAATTTAGAAGGACCAAAGGTCTAAATGCAAAAGAGAATGTAGTTCCTTAGCCCTGTTTTCACATGTGTGTTACAATAATTACTAGTACCATTAGCTTGTGTGTGTATATATTTTACATTGACATCACAGTTTGCTTTTCATTGTACCTCATGCTATAGTTTTACTTATACAGGACATATGAGGCTCATCGGGTTGTTGATGGTGATGACAGGACATTTATTTCCAGGTGTTCTCACCATATTGATTACTGAAAGGATGCAAAATTTGTCTTAATTCATTAAGATAATGCAAGGCTTGGCAAAGCAAAAGGAAACAGATCTATGCAAATGATGATCAGACCAATCATTGGGAACTGATGCACCCAGCAGGAAAAAAAAAGATATTATTTAATACCTATTCCTTTTTTGTTGTTTGACCATTTCATACATTCATGTAATAGATTTGAATTATTTTCTACTCTTCATTCCCTTCTTTCTCCTTCCTCACCAGCTCCAGATTAAATACTTTTTCTCTCCCAGTCTGCCTAGTTTCATGTTTTCTTTTGACCTGTAGCTCACTACTTTGAATGGAAGTCACATTCCAGGGTGTGAGGGGCCAGTTATTTACTAGAGTAAGCACAACTTAGAAGTGCTTATACCACTGATTAAAATGCTAGACCCTCCCCCAACAACCTGTAATTGTGAAAAGTCCTCAGGGAGAGAGTGGGGCTTCATGGGTTATATATATTGACGGAATTTAGAACATAGGGAAATTATTTTAAGATTTTATTACCAAATAGTATTATACAAAGTAATTTCACTGTGATATTTGATACATGTACATAATGTACTTTGTCCATATTTACCCCTCTCTTATCTTCTTCTTTCATCCCTCTTTCTGGTCCTCTTACTTGTCCTAAATCTCTATTTATTCTCTATTTTGCATGTGAGAGAAAACACAATACCTTTATTTTGTAGTCTGGTTTCATTTATTTTGTAACTTTTCAGTTGCATTCATTTTTCTTCAAACAGGGTATCATAAAACAGTAAAAATTTAAATTCTCTTCATGGGTTAGAATTCAGAAGTCATTGTTAAAAAGAATAAAAATACTATAACCACTAAAGCTAAAAGGAATTATGGCAAACCATTTATTTGCTTGTTTGTTTGTTTTGTTCCTTGAGACAGAGTTTCTCTGTATAACCCCTCTGGCTGTCCTGGAACTCACTAAGAAGACCAGGCTGGCCTCAAACTCAGAGATGCCTCTGCCTCTGCCTCTGCCTCTGCATGCTGGATGTAAAGGTGTGTGCCACCTCTGCCTAGTGACAACAAAGGATACCCTATGTTATTTCTGTATTTATGTTCACTTATAGTAAATATCCTTTTCAGAGTGACTTGGTAAGTTGTATTTGGAGAGTTAATACATTCCTAAATTAGCAGTAATATTAGATAAATTTATAATGACTCCACTGTAGTTGTGTTTGATTTTTTTCTCATATTCAAACCGTAAATTCATCCCAAAGGCACTTTTAGAACCTGACTTGTGCCTGTGAGGAAGGGACACCTCTTATAAGGGAAGGACCAGCATTAGAATAAAAGTACACTTGGACATAAACATTTCCCTGGAGGTGCCATATTTTTTCCACTTCATCCTCTGAGTTGGATGAAACATGAATATGCTCAGATTTTGACATAAGTGCCTAAGTAAGTAAAATTCATAGTAAGTAATAAATTCCTAAAACCTAGACTAGATTTTACAACCAAAGTACCTTTCTAGGACATGAAATATGACAGAGAGTAAAAATATGATGTCTCCTTGGTGCTAAAGCTCTGCCTGCCTTTTTTAGTTGCTTGCTTGGGAAAAGATGGGCATTGTCTGTCAAGAGAATATACACAAACTTTCCAAAAACTGTCATTATGTAGAAAGCATAGTCTATTTTAAAATAATAAAAACAGCAGAAATCGCTTTGCAGATACACAGGAGTAAGAAAGAGATACCAGGGCATGCCAATGTAAAAGCAGCTAATAAATCATGGTTGTGGGCCATTGCCAATCCACATCTGAGCCTGTATCAGTTTAAAAGACCAAGAAGTTTGTGCCACTACACCATTATGATCATTAGCATAGGATTTTTAAAGAAAACAATTGTAAATTGTTCATGCAGAGATTGTTTGTGGACAAGAGAAAGAAGAATCTCAATGTGGGAAAATCATGGAAGCTTACACATTTGTGTGTGTATATTGAATCACTAATAACCTCATTTACCTCAACTTTGATAAATTGTCTTGTTAGTCTTTGAAGAGGAAACTTTCTTCTATCTAGAAGAGAAACCTCTCAAAATACATAGGAAAACTGAGTGAATGAATGAGAGAGCAATGCTATCTATTTCCGGGATGCTCAACTCCCCGTGTGTACCACATTTACATTAGACTTATGTCCTGTTTACCACTGCTTTCCTTTAGGAGCTGTGAAATCAGCTGCAACTGAAAATGTCTGACAGCTTGGAGAACGAAGAAAAACCCCCAGCTCCCCCACTGAGGATGAACAGTAACAACCGTGATTCTTCGGCACTCAACCACAGCACCAAACCGCTCCCCATGGCTCCAGAAGAGAAGAATAAGAAAGCCAGGCTTCGCTCTATCTTCCCAGGAGGAGGGGATAAAAGTAAAGTATCAGTGGCCCGGCATTCAAAAGGGGCCAGTTTATTCTTTCCTTGGAACTTTTTTTCTTGGGTAGTTGCTTCTGGAGCATTGGTTGTTCAGGGCCTGCTTGACATTTACATCTGCAACTAAAGAGGTTGCCTTTTGCCAGAGGATCATACCTATGAGATAAGGGAAAATATACATGCTGTGTTTGCCTCTCACATGAACCGGATTTATAGATTTAAATGGAGGGAAACCATAGGAGCACTATATTGAGTGTAAAAACAACAACTTGCTTTCTTAAAATTTAGGGTAGATTTAAAGCAATTCCATCCTAACTCTAAGATGTCCATTTTTGATATTTAAGTGTATAGGTATGTTTACTTCTGTATATCTTTTCAGTAACTGAAGATTTTGAGTTAAGTATACAGGAGCAAGTCCAAGTTACCAAAATATTGTCTGAGTCTCAGGTAGGAAGGAAAAATCTTTTGTTTCCTCTATTCCTCTACCAATTGTCACCTATGCAACCAGTTCCACGTGCATGAATATTATCATTTACCCATATGGCATTCAGACTACAATGTGTTGCTTAGATGGTGTATGCTACCACTTTGTGACACTTGATTCTGTGAATCCTTCACTAAGTAGTTTATAAGCTTGTATTAATTGCCATAAAGCTCAAACATGGCTCCTGAAGATGTAACTATTGAACAGGATGTAAGTAAACTAACCATAATATCACTGACATTTCGTAAATGGAAAGAAAGGTAATGCCTTTGAAAAATAAGGTTGTTATTGGTCTGTGTCTACTAAAATAATTAGTTTGGGGGTGTTTATATACTCTAATGAACTTGTGGTTTGTATCACAAGAGCTGAAATTATTTTCAGTGACTAAGAGTCTTCCTTGCATGACCTAAGGATTAAAGAGACATAAAAGAATAATAAAAGGAATTCCACACAAGAGGTCTGTGACCTTATAAGGGGGAATTCTAAAAACATGTTTGCCAATACTTAAGTGGATCTTGAAAACTATTTTCTCAAAGTAAAGGATGGTGTGAGAATTGACAGTGTGTCACTATCTAGAGAACAATTCGTTTGTAATAGTGACACTGAAGAAAGGATCCCTATACTACATCTGCTAGATTTGAAGACAGTGAGTGAATAATGGATGACTCTGCACAAATCTTTGATGCTTGAACGTGCATGCTTTTAATGTCTTTGAAAAGTCCTACTTGTCCTTTTAAAGAGCAGGAATTCAGCAAAATAGAAGAGGTTGACATTTCTGTTTCGTGTCAATAGTTCAAATGACCTCATAGTGAAACCACTACTGTTTTCCAGAAAAGTATGCCCAAATCTTCTCTGGGTAAAACAATCTGGGCCAAATGTTTTTTGAACTGGCATGCAAACATAAGAGCCTGGATGACTTCAGCTCTTATTCAGAAAGTGTTTGAACAGTGCTTTCTTAGAGAAATCCAAGAGTACTTGAAAGAAAACCTTTAGTTCAAAAGTCCTGTTGATTTTTAGCATCCATTTGGTACTTCACATGCATTTACCAATATATATATATATATATGTTCTAGGCTAAGTCTTTAATATCAGTCACATTTTTACTTTCACCTTGTATATCAATGTATGGTCATGAAATTCAGGAAGATGTAATAATTACATGTCATTTAACTTTTAAAACTCTCACAAAGGTTCTGAAGGTACTAGAGTGAAGGATTCTTAAACCGTTACTAACGCTGTACCCTTTTTGAAAGAGGCACTAGCTAGTTTGCCAAAGCTTGGTATAATGCAACCCAGATTGGACAAGAGGCAGTGAAACATGAACACAGTAAAACTTTGGATCAAGAAGAACCTATGAATGATGAACATTTTGTGTAATTAATTTTGAGTATGAACTTGTTCGCACTAATACATGATAAGATATTTTGTAGAATGCTCTTCTGGGAGGTTCTTGTATGCCATAGGTGAATATCATAAGGGACAAAAAGATAATTAAGAGTTGTTGAGACTGGGAGATAAAGTTATAAAGAAGGTGAACCATTATTTTTAGAACAAAAGTAAGACGTTTCAAGGAAACCAATGAACATTGGAATCTTTCCATATAAAAAATTACCTGTTTAAAATTAAAATTTGAAGAGTCCTATAAAGAGGTATTATAAAGAACCACGAGAAACTTTCTTAAGTGAAACTTTTAAGTCATCGGTTACCATTTATTACCAAATATCTAAAAAGCTACCTTCAGAGAAAGTTTGGATGACTTCATTGCACTTATAAAAAGTGCTATGAGTGTTTTTTTTTAATTCTATAATGAGAAGTTAATGTGGAAAAAGTCCTAAGTCACCAAAAGTAGTACTTAATTAAACACCCTTATTGAGTAGCTGACAAGTTGTCTTCAAAGTTTGCCTGAGTTCATTAGACACAATATGTAATTTGGTTGGATTTCTTCTCAAAGATATGACAGAAGTCATCTTCACAATGGGATAAAGTTATTAAATAATGCTGCTTATATGCATGTTTTTGATACAGCTTCAAGATGGGATTTCAAGAACACTGAGAACACTTCCATCCATGATCTGAACTAAACAGTTCACCACTGTGCATTATGTCACCATTACTCTCATTTTTACTACCATACAGAGTAATGTGTATGTTCTTATCATCCTTGCAAATCACCTCAGAGATCTAAACAAAACCAAGTAGACATTTCATTATTATATATTAAGTTATGGAAATGATTATTATTTTTTTCATTTGGTATATTGTTGTTATTATTATTGTCCAAAATATTTATGAGATATTTGAAAAAAAATGTTCACTTGTGACCTCATTTCTAATGCTCATGTTTTTCTCTCTCCTATCACCAAAATTTCCTCAGTTACGAAATTGACCCTTATGGGTGAGCAGAGAATGTTGTTTCTCTGTCTCTGCTTCTTCATGGCTGTTTCAATAATATCATGGTCAGTTTTGAATTAACACATAGAACATTGAGCATGTGTCCTGGAGGCCTGGATTCATGTAGGGTTCTGGCAGTAATGATTGTGACTTTGGGCCAGTCATCTAGCTTCTCTGAGCCAGAATATGTATCATGTGTTAAATGAGGACGGTAGGGTTTGCCATGCCTTACTAAATCTTTGTGACAACCTATGGCAATTGTAGTTACATGAGTGCTACAAATGTAAATTAACTACTGCCAGGAAATCATGTGCTATTAGTCTGTTTGTGGCATTTAACAACTTCCTCGACCAAGAAACTAGGTTGTTGAATTTATGCCTTTTTAAAGTAGCTTTTGCCATGAGCAGAATCTATACAGAACACTTTAAAAGAAAACTTTCTTACTCTTGTGGAAGCCAACGGTAACTAGGGTAATATTTTCCCTCATAGACCCTCTTTTTCTCATCATAACATCAAAATAATTCAACAACTTCAACTTGTAAAATAATAAGCATTTAGAAAATAAAAAATCACTCATAATCACAAATCCTAGAAATTATGCTAACATGTTGATGGATTTCTTCTTGTGTATGTGTGTGTGTGTATTACCTGTTTATATTTTTACATAGTTAATATAATACTTTATACAGCTTTGTATTCTGCAGTTTTTACTTATCATTTTCTCAAGAATATTTGCCTCCATTTAAAAGCCTCATGAAATATGTCAGCATGTGATGACATCATGCTTAATTTAATCATTTTTCCTTTTTTCTTTTTGGATATCTGGGGTCATTCCTTGTTAATTTTTCATTATAAATAACATCTACTTCATTACTTAATTGAAATTAGTTGATTTGGTTGCCATCCTGGGAAATTTGAAGATTTCTGTTTGTATAGAGAACATTTGTTGTTTGTTTTTTTTTTTTAAGCAGCCCCTTTAATAGCTACATTTCATTGACCAAATGGAACAAGAGACATGTTGAAGAAAAAATATGAAGTAAATGTTTTTTTTCAATGTTGAGGACCTGTCATTGTTGGAGAATCTTCTAGGAACTGAGTGTTGGTGTTAGGACAATGTAGGAAGCACAGTTTGGTACCATTGGATAATACTCTACTATACAAAATTTGAAAGATGTAGCCCGGGAAAAGGATATAGTAAATAAGTAAGTGGTTTGGTTTTATTTCCTAGGCACTGTGAAGCGTGGAGCAAATTAGATTTCTCTCTCATTGACTCCTAGAAAGCTTGGGGCCAAATGTGTGGTTCATGCATACATGAGACATCTTGGTCCACAAACTTTGTACCCAGTGTGCTCCAGGCTTCATTTTATGTTAGCTTCATGTTTGTTTCCCCCCCTTTACATTCTTATCTGTTCTGAATATATGGTTTCAGCTCCCATTTTATGTATTCACGTGTGTCAGCTGGCATCCATTTTGGAATAAGGTGGTGAATGAGTACGTGAATGAATAAATGAATTCTTTAATAAATACATAACTATAAATAAACCAGTAAGAAGAAAGCAATGAGGCAAATCCATGCATCAAGGACTCTGAAAATGACATAGTGCCCCCCCAAGTAATCTATGTTAAGGAGTAAAAGCAGGAAGAGCATATAAAGAAGCAGATGAGGCTGCATTTGCAGTTTACCTGTTCTGTGTGATATCTCTTTCTTGTGTACTCCTGTGTTTTATGTCTTGTACTGCTCTTGAGCCTTAGGTCTGTTTTGGAAGATGCTTAGTGCTGTATGAAGGTCTGTGTCTTTAGAGAACACAGTTCATATGTATTCTGTTTGTATGGAAATCTGGAGAGATTTGTGGCTTAGTGATCTGAGGATTGATATGATGGCCCCTTTGCTTGGAGGTGTAAGAGGAAATAGTTGGATAGAAATAAAATTGTGGCATATAGAAAATGATCACTCATTTATTGGCTGCTTACTGGGTGCCAGTCTGTGATTCAGGCCCATGCATATGCAGTCTTTGTTCTAACCCCCTTTTGCAGACTTAACAGTATAAGCTTAAAGCATGTAAATATATCATCTAGGACCACATAGCAAAGAATGGAAGCCAGAAAGAAACTGTTCTTATTATA